ATACCTGAACAACATATTTTCTGTATCGTCTCGGTTAAAATTTATTATGTTTGCAGATGATACAAATTTCATTTGTATGGGAAAAGATATGAGTAAATTATTACAAGAGGTTGAAAACGAATTGGATTCAATTAAAAAATGGTTTGATTACAACAAGCTATCACTAAATGAAAATAAAACCAAATTTATGATATTTTCAGGGAAAAGGGACAATGACGGTGCTAATCTGTATTTAAATGGAGTCCCAATTGAACAAGTACATGAAACTAAATTCCTAGGTGTGATTATTGATATTAAACTCAGTTGGAAACCACACATTGAATATATCAAACGGCAAGTGTCTAAATCTATTGCTATACATTATAAAACTAGTGATGTACTAAATAAAAAAGCCTTGTTTTTAATTTATAGCTCTTTAGTTATGCCTTATTTGTCTTACTGTGCAGAGGCTTGGGGAAATGCAGTAAAACATGTGTTGAGACTGTATTTAAATTACAAAAAAAGGCGATTAAAATAGTTAATAAATTGGGATACCTCGAACCAACCCATTATCTATTTATTCAAACTAAAACGCTAAAATTAGGAGATATTATTAAAGTAAAATTCTTAGAGATTCTTCATAAAGTAGTTAATGATAATATCCCAAATTGCATAAAAGTTTATTTCAAACCAAGAGATGATCATTATAATCTCAGAGGTGTATTTATGTTTGAATGTGTAAAAGCCAGAACTAATGTGAAATCAAGATGTGTTTCCGTTCTTGGTGTGAAATTGTGGAATGAGTTATATGATGATTTGAAGAAATGTACTTCTTTACTAAAGTTTAAAGCAGGTGTAAAGTGTCACATATTTACAGGGTATGAAAAGTAAGTATAGACATTAATGAATTTTCATTGTGGTTATTTATATTGGGGAAAATAAAAGAAATGTATATTGGTTATGTATCTTAGGTGGAAAATAGGGTAGGCTAAAATAAGCTTTGCTTCTGCCTATTCCTTTTTTGGTTTAAATTCAAATTGTTAATATTGTTTTGTTTGAAAAAAAAAAATTTTATGTTAATGCTATAAACCAAAATAAAGACCGAAAGAAAGAAGAAAGAAAGTGTTAAACGCCTTTAGTTTCACCATCAAGATCAAATAAAAATTAATTACTGTTATCAGTGATAACACTAATAAATTTATATATATATATTAATCAGAATTATTATCGCGGGCGGCCGCCGCCAATTAATTTGCGGACCTCGCAGTAAAAACAGGTTCACTCTGTGTGGATATTTCAGCTCCTTCCCAGTCATGGACCAGGACAAACTTGGTATCGATGGATTAGCGGTAATCTCAGGAATGTGAAGCTGCCACTGTTTTTTGTATAGCATGATGACACTGGTGTTAGAGGATTGTTATTGACCTGGTTAGATATTTTAAGCCTATTTTAAATTTCTTTATATTTGATCTTGAAAACGGACAATCTTATAATTTGGCTGAAAATGCAGGGATTATAAAATTTAGAGTACATTACATTCACAGAGAGAACCTGGTTTATTTCATGTCATATGTATTTAATATATCAATATATATCAGCAAAGCTTAACATCATGAACCATGACAGACATGACTGAAGAGCAGATGAAGATATCATGCCAGGCACTGATGAGAAAATATTACAAGGATCTTACAGCTGAATTGGAGAATGAGATGCTACACCTGAGAACAATATATGGTGCCACATTTCCACACATTCAGTCTCCTCTTGAGCTGCTTAATGCCATCTACAGGATGCAATTACAGAGCATTTTTGGAGAAGTTTGTATTGGACTGAGAATATTTTGCACACTACCTGTGACTGTTGCTGGGGGTGAACGGGCTTTTAGCAAACTGAAACTGGTGAAAAATTATTTGAGATCAACAATGTCCCAGGATAGACTGAACAGCCTAGCTCTTCTTTCTATTGAAAGCCAATTAGCCAAAGGATTGGACTTTAAAGATCTCATAAGTGATTTTGCTAACATGAAGACCCGTCAGTGGGCATTTACTGGAAAATAAATTCCAGGATTTTTGTTTGAACACATTGTTGGCAAATAAAAATAATTATATGTGAAGTCTGGGCATTTCACTTTTATTATGCTGGCATTTGTATTTGCTCAATATAGAGGTTAAACTAAGATCATATTTATTGTCTTGTCTTATAGCATGACAAAAAATGTTTAAGAGAGATATTAAGTAATTGAGCATGGGGGCCCACCTAGAAGACTTGTACCTAGGGCCCAGAATTGGGTGCTACGCCCCTGCATGAAGTCATCCTGTTGGGCTAGTCTGCTGCACACATTAAGTATCTGCTACACATTTTTTATGTTTTATTTTTAATTGTTTATTTTTTACTCAGCCTAAAATACTTTTGAAGTGTATTAAAGCAATACTTTTATCTCACTTGAAATGCCCTTGGCCCTGCCCTACTGTGCATTACAGTTCCTTTATTCATGTCCATCCTAGTGTTTCTCTCTGAACATCATGTATATTTAGAGAAACTCATTTTTAAACTTTGCAGAGAACTTTTTACTTTATTCATGCATTTATCTCCTCCCATTAAAATTACTGCAACACGTTTTTCAAATGTTTTAAAAAGGAAATGTGTAGTTTTTACCATTAATCTCTGGAAATATCTGTTATAATCTCTGTTGTTTTACTGGTGGCTTTGTAACTTCTAACCATAAAAAACGGGTCTAAAATACACGGCAGCGGGTCTAAGTTTCTGGGTGACGCTATGTTAGATGCCATGTTTCCTTCTACAGGATCCTGTGAGGACAAAACGCATTTACTGATTTGTAACAAACGGTTACAAAACTTTCACTATTTATAAACGTTGTTTTACACATTTAGCGCTTCACTCACTGCCAGTGATGAAGGGAAACTGATGTGTTTGTCATTTTTCTGGAGTTTGAACAATCTGACAAAGTACTAGTTCAAAAATTGCACTCCGAGGGATTTTTGACCCTAATGGTCATCCATTGGTAAGGTCCTACTCGAAAACAAAAATACAGCTTGCTTGAAATTATTTAGTACAAACTGCCCGCTATCGCCATGGAAAATACACATGGTCACTTTAAAGGGCTTGTATCATGTTTTTTTAAATGATATATGGACATTTGGTTTTACAACCCCCCAAGACACTTCACAACACAATCATTCATTCACACAATGATGCAGTCACAGCTGCCCAGGGGTTTGCTGAAGGAGGCGAGGCCTGCCGAACACTGGCGCTACCACCATCAGGCAAGGTGGGTTAAGTGTCTTGCCTGAGGACACAACAGCAGCATTCTCTGGCCGGAGCTGGACCCGAGCTGGGATCGAACCTGCAACCTTCCGACATGACAATAAGAGACCCAACAGTTCAGCTGGGCGGACGTATTTTGGTATAACTCTCCTATTCAAATAACCCCACCCCCTGAGAATTCTAACCGAGCCAATCAGCGCTGTACGTCACCACAACGCCGAGCTTGTCATAAACATGGCGACTGAAGTGGAGTTTACTGCGGCTCTTTAAACATGTCTTTAAAACCATAAAAAGTAGATGTGCTAAAAGCCTTTCTTCTAAAAAAAATGTGTTTGCGCTGTCGCCAGATGCCATTTTCGACTACAGCTAAAAAAAAAACTCCAGCGTTGTGCGGTACAGTCGGCATGTCCGGCTCTTTTCTGATTGGTTATTTTTGAGCTGGCTAGTCCCACCCCTCATGTGCCTCTCTGCCTGTGAGTAACCAGACTCTTTCTCTGTGCAGAATTCAACAGAGAACGAGTCTGGCAAGCCAGGTTAGTATTTTGTCTAGTTAACATCATAGCTGCACCGTTACAGGTTCTGGCAAAGTTGGGGAAAACCACTGATCTGTTTGAGCTCATGAACCAGAACCACCCCCTGCAGCAGCAGGATGTAAAACTGCCATGTCATGAACAGATCTTGAAAAGTGTTCTGAAAAAACATCACCATTAACCCTCCAAACTCTCCTGTTTATGAGGAGGTTTGTTGCAAAATGTCATTGTCTTAGATGGCAGCTTTAGAGAGAACTTCCAAAATGCAACTTCATCTTTATGCAATTCATCCGCTGACATGTTCTCCGCTGCTTCTTTGCTTCTGCCTCTTGTATTATTCCAAACAGTTAATTTAATTTAAATGGTCCAAATGTAGTTTTAGCCAAAGTAACTTGCTCTAGAGGATGTGGCTATGAAATTCCCTTTACGAAGTATTGCATCATGTGTTCACATTTAAACAAAATGTTAATGATCCCGAGTCATCTCAAGTTATACAAGATAACAGTTAAACAGATACAATGAGGGAGCATTCTGCTAAAACTTGATCTACTAGAAAATAACCTATGTGGCTTGGATTGTCTCAGAGCAACAGAACAAAATGTAATCTGGATCAGAAAACCTTAAAAACCTCTTGTAAGACATTTCTGGGTGAGTGGTGGCTCTTTATATGATGAATGATAATGAATGATAGATGACCTGCACTTGTATAGCACCTTTCAGAGTCAGAGGACTCCAAAGCACTTTACACTACAGTGTATCATTCACCCATTCACACACTGATGGTGATGAACTACTATGTAGCCAAAGCTGCTAAACTGGGGCGCACTGACAGAGGCGAGGCTGCCGAGCACAGGCGCCACCGGTCCCTCTGACCACCACCAGCAGACAAGGTAGGTTAAGTGTCTTGCCCTAGGACACAACAGCAGAAGTATCTGTCTGGAGCCGGGTTCGAACCTGCAGCCTTCCGATTACTGGACAACCCGCTCAACCTGTTGAGCTACTGCTGCCCCCTGTTGCCAATAAAGTAAATTACTTCCTGAAATCAGATCAGATCAGATATAAGCACAAGGCAAATGCCATTCCTTGAAAGCAAAGCAATACACCTCAGCTATCAAAGGACATTTGTAAGGGAGCTATAGACAAACACAATTTAACTTTAAAGACCCTCACAGATTGTAACCTCTCACACATTTAGTCACTTACCGGAGGACCTGGCTCTCCTTTGGGCCCACGGAATCCATCTTCATAGTCATAAAGAAAGTCCATCTCCTCATATCCATAATCGTATCCTCCACTGTCTCCGTCATCATAGCTGCCATCCACAATGTGTTGTTCTGAAGTGTCGACCTGGTTGTCCCTGTATAAAGTGGTGCTGTTGGCTCTACGATGGGACTCCAGAGTGCGGTGAGCCTCTTTTGGTCTGAGGTCAGAGTCCCCAAAGTTGTTCCCGAGTCCTTCCTTCACTCGACTTTGTCTGACTGGGGAAATTAGGCCTGGGAAAGTCTCTGAAGTCTGCTGACTACTGGAACTGCTTCTGTCCTCTGTACTGTTCTCAAATTGGTCTGTATTCCCCTGGGGTTGACTGCTCTTTGCTAACACATCTGTGGAGGTTGCATGGGGAAGATCCACCACTGCTTGTTTTGTCGGAGGAGTGTGTGTAGGGCCATCAGGTGAAAGGGGGTTTTGTGTATAAATGTGGCTTTGTTCCCTCAAATGAAGCTGTGTTGTCGGTCTCAGAGTTGTGACAACTTGACTTCTTGGTGACATCTTTTCAGTTGTAACTTTGGTAAAAGTATGAAGGGTAGCTGGTACTCCATGAAGTGACTTTGTCAAAGGGTTAGAAGTGTAGTCATCGGCCTTTATATCCAAACCGGAAGGCATCAAAGTCAATCGATAAGTGTCAGCCAGCCGACACTGTTTTTTAAGGTAGTTGCAGTAGTGTGCAGCAGCTTGGGCTGAGGGATAGATATCTAGTTGGCAGAGTCGACCAATGAAAGGAGTCGCCTTGGAGTTCATCCTCCCCAAAGAGAAGAGATGCCCAGATTCTCCCAATGTCTGAGATCTCCCAAGGGTCTGCTCCCGTTGCTGCACCACCCCACAGTCCGCATAAAATGATACAGAACGGGATCGAACGCCGACACCGAAAGCATGCTGCCGCCCATCCTGCCAGTTGTAGTTAAAGTAGATGGAGGACTTCTCTGCAGTGTAAACCACTACTCTGCGTGGTAGCAGTTGAATGCCGAAACGCAGTCTGTCCCTGCCATCTTTAATGCTAAAAAGAAATGCATTGTTCGCTCGCCAGGAGCTTAGGCTAATCACAAAAGAAAATTCATCACCAAACTCTGCAGGGAACAAACTGCTGACTGGGATCTCATAAAAGGAGTTTGTGTCCAATAACACCCCATATCCAGAAAGGGAGGGAACGTTGGTGTAAGGTGGTGAAGCTGTCCTCTCGTGGGGATTGTCTGTGCTGTTCTGATATGCAAGACCCAGTCGGTGGAGGACATCCACACCTGTCGGACAGAGGAGACACATGTAAGTGTATTGTGCCAAAATTAAACTAGAACAAAACATTTTGAAGCTTCAATGCTCATCTTTCTATCGACATGAACCCAAGCATATGTTTTCTGATGTGTTTGGTCAAAAAGAAGTTTTATTTATGTGCATCCCCAATTGAAACTTTGGGAGAGGTTTTAATAGTGCCATCCAGTGTCTGGTGTTTTGATTAGACTGGGTGTCATGTACTCAAGAACAGCTCCAAACAATAAAGCGGTCAAGGTGGAAAATAGGTAGAATTGCAGGAAAATTTGGGGAATTTCTTTCTTTCCCCTGATTTTAGTTTGGAGGAACATCTCAACAGAATAAAAAAAAACTGCTGGTTTTAATACATGGTTTAATGGAAAAAAGTAAATGCTCAAGTTACACGTTTGGGTTGTGATCAGACACAACGCCTTTAAAATCTACAGATTTATTCTTCTCCTGGGAAGAAACAGACAAACAGCTGCAGCCCAGATGAACCATGAAGACTTTAAGTGCCTGGAGCCAAACCAGGATTTGGAAAATCAGTCTGTAAAGTTTATTGAATCAAACTGCAAGCAGATATTTTATGAAAACTGGCCTGTCATTCTTTTTGCCCTGTAACATGTAAAAGAAATGTATGTTAAATCAGCATAAGGTGCAGATGCACAGTCAAAGCAAAAGCACTCAAATGTAACTCTATACCTTGTTCAGCATTTACATCAATTAAAGATCAACACAAGGAACAGAAAGTGGGAGGGCAGAGGATCATAAATCAGTCCGTGGGTCCAGGTAAGAAAGATCAATTGCAATATTGATCCAGTTGCTCACCAGAGAAGTATTACTCTTGCATATTGTAAACAATAAACATCAACAATCAAAAACAATATTTGTTCACTTCTACTCTAACCGAGCCAATCAGCGCTGAGTAGCTACGTCACACACCACAACACCGAGTTTGTCGTACATGGCGACTGAAGCAGGAGTTCGCGGTGGCTCTTTCTTCTGTTGTAAATTACTTGAATGTCTTTAAAACCACAACTAGAAGCGCTAAAAGCCTTTCTTCTAAAAAATAAGATGTTTACGCCGTTGCCAGACGCATTTTTTGACTACAGCTAAAAAACTACAGCGTCGCGCGGTACAGTCGGCATTTCCGTCTTTTTTCTGATTGGTTATTTTTGAGCTGGCTAGTCCCGCCCCTCATGTGCCGCTCTGCCTGTGAGTTGCCAGACTCTTTCTCTGTGCAGAATTAAACAGGACGAGTCTGGCAGGCCAGGGTAACATTTAATAGCATCACCTCCAGTTATATTTATTTATAGTCAGCCACCTATATCTGTGTTTATGCATTCAATATTTTAATCCAAAGACACAATCTGATCTGTCTGTCTGTCTGTCTGTCTGTCTCCTTCTGTTCCACACAATCAGCTGGTACAATGATTTGCTGTGACTGGTTAACAGGATCTGAAAGAGAGATTTCAACAAGTCATGTAAACTGTTGCAAAGTTTTCCATTTTCTTCACATTAGTTGCAGGGTTTTGCTAAAGGGGCTTGACTGCATTTTTCTGGTTGCAAGCGCCTGCAAACCTCTGTTAGCTTTGGTTAGCTTGTAGCACATTGGCTCAGATTTTACAGTAATGGATATCAAACATCTACAATATCATGGCCAAGATGGTGGTGGTGGGCTTCAGCCCTTCAGAAACCTGTGGGTGAAGGTGTGGGGGCTTTGTCATTGATCTTGCTCTTGTGTTGCTAGAATTTAGAGACTTTGGCAAGACAATTTTTCTCCCAATAGTGTACAATCTTGATTATGCATTTTCTAGTTCTTTTTAACACTGTTTAGTAAAACAAATACTATACTAGCTGAAACATGTTAGGTAAAAAAAACAAGTAACTAAATTGTGTAAAAAAAGAACAAGAAAATGGATGACGAAGATAAACGCTGAATTAGAGCCCTGCACTGTAGCCCGAGGCCCGAAGCCCGGCCCAGCCCGACGGCCCGAGGGCCGGGCTACGGTCCAACGACTGTGTAATTACCTCGGACACGGGCCGGGCTGGGCGCCTTTATTTTTAATCGAATTCATTAAAAAAACTGAAACACAAACGCAGCAGCACCTGCCTGCTTCTCACGCACCGTTAACTCAGTTAAGGTCTGTGTGGTTTATAAATGCGCCGATATAAACGAATTCTCAAACTGCCGATTGAAACATGTGCCCCTATTCTAATATGCCATTTTATGTCCACTTTGATGTCAGAAACCATTCGTTTATTCTCATGAAAACGGCAGCATTCTATTTTTCTGTGAATAAATTCGCTCTGCAGTTAAAAAAAATACAGCATTCATTGCTGGTTTTTTCTTTTTTCTAACTAGAGAGTGCATTTTCAGAGCGGCAGATTAAATTTACAAACGCTGTATTAATTGGGGGCGTTTATTTAATCTGCCGCTCTGAAAATGCGCTCTGCAGTTAGAAAATTAGAATGCTGCTTTTTTTTCCTAATTGCACAAGAGCGCATTTTCAGAGCAGATTTAATTTACAAAAGCATCCAATTAATATGGTGTTCGTAAATTTCATCTGCTGCTTGAAAAATACGCTCTGTTAGAAAAAAAAGCTGCATTGATGCTGTTTTTCTTTCTTTTCTTTTCTTTTCTTTTCTTTTCTTTTTTTCTTTCTTTTTTTTTTTTACTGCAGAATGCTTCTCCCAGATAATTAGAACGCTGAGCATTCTATCACGCTAAAACATTATGAAAGGTTAAAAAAAAAGTCGGGCTCGGGTCGGGCCAGAGAATCCTGAAAACCTTTTCGGACCGGGTCGGGCTGGGGCTCCACCCCCTCGGGCCAGGCCGGACACGGGCTCAGATTTTAGGCCCGTGCAGGGCTCTAGGCTGAATGTACAAAAGAGTGTACAGTATTTCTCAGTTTAGTTTTCATGAATCAGAATGAGCAAGAAAGGTGAGATAATTTCAGGAGGAGTTGGAGACCTAATTGAAACTCTTCTGCAACTGACTGGAGACAAAAGCAAAAATGCAACTAAAAATCTGTGTGTGTGTGTGTGTGTGTGTGTGTGTGTGTGTGTGTGTGTGTGTGTGTGTGTGTGTGTGTGTGTGTGTGTGTGTGTGTGTGTGTGTGTGTGTGTGTGTGTGTGTGTGTGTGTGTGTGTGTGTGTGTGTGTGTGTGCGTGTGTGTGAATGGATGAATGATACACTGTAGTGTAAAGCGCTTTTGAGTCCTTACTCTGAGAGGTGCTATACAAGTGCAGGTCATTTATCATTTAAAAGGACAAAACATTGTGACTCTATCACTTTTGCAATCATGTCCTTTTGATAAAACATTTGTAAAATTTCTCTTAATTAGTGTCTTTAACAGGTTGCCAACAGAGATAAGCTTGGTGACAAAGTTGAACCGTAGTTGTAAGGGTGTTTCCAAAGATTACGTTTTTTTTTTTGTGAGTTGAGGGCCCCCCCTCTGGCATCGCTGAAAAATGTAAGCGAATTTAACAGGGCGGACTCTAATTTTAAATTAGTCACCAAGTTAATATGAGTGTCTGGAGTTTCTGAGCCACAAAGTGTGTGAAGTGTGAGAACCTTGGAAGCAGATTTTGGGCAAATTGCAAAATAAATTGGAGTAAATTGGAAAAAACTGAGACACGATTTAGACACTTTGTGACTACTACGATAATTTACTTTCCCTCGAAAGCATCTAATCTACCAACTCACTATGATTCCAGTCACGATTTAGTGTCACTAACAGTTTACTATATGTAAAATGGTTTAATGTTTGATTTGTTTCCCATATGTTGTTCTCAGAAAGAGGGCCAAACAAACTGAAGGACAAAAATGCTAAACATGAGAAACACACACAGACCTTTGTCATTGATGTGATTTCATTTTTTTTCCCCTGCAGTGGGCATAAGGAAACCATCGCAGCTGATTTCAGCATGCACTGAGATGTCCTCGGCATTTTCTGCCTGAGGAAACGTCCGCCTGGATTCCAATTAACCTGTCTCACATGTTAAGATAAGCCGCTCCATCAGTCTGGGTGTGTTCCCTTCTGAGTTAATCTGTCAGAATGGACACATCAGGTTTGATGTAGATTTGTATAGAAACGACAGAGCGAGACAGAGAAAGGTGAGAAGCAAATGATACACACAGGTGTGTCATGATAAACCATGAGATGATACTTCATCCAGCTCAACCTGACCCAAATCCTAATCTCTAACCAATCTTCTTTTTCAGCCTCCTGCCTGTTGGCTCCAACTTCAGCATCCATCTACCTACCAAATCAATGTCTCTCATCTGGAGACGTCCCACCCCTCTCAGTCTGGCTCCTCTGAGTTCTCAAGAGCTCAATCCTGATCCTATCCATCCTTGTCTTGTTCCTCATTGTCACTGTCTCTAAACCACACAACATTACTGTTGTAACATATAACCAACCATTGCACTGTTAGTAAAACTGAATGGCTATGATTTAGTATTTTACTTTCAGAGGCTTTTGCGATGGTTTTGACAAAATTAGAGTGCAGATGCATGAATAACTAGTAAGTCAGAGAGACTAAGCCGCAGGAACAAAAGTATTTAATGTCTGATTACAGGTTCTGCTGTTTACCTGGAGCTAGGTAGTCGTCTTCTCCAGCGGGCACTGCAGAGCATACTGACAGGAGCAGGAGAAAGTTCCACCTGTGAACCAGTCATCCAAAGTTAATAATGAGTCAGCTAACGCCAAAAGTAAAGCATAAAAACTATACAGTATGTCTGTTACTGCAGTGTTTGTGTCTGTAGCTTTCTATGCCTTGCTGCATTAATGATTGGATGCAAGCAATATCACAAGACAGAAAGCTTTAGGCACAAAATGTGAACACTGGTGGTCTATGATGATGATGATGAGGCCAAAACAAGTATCACAGAGAACAACAAACCAGCCATAGCCAGCCCCAGAAAAAACTAATTTAAAGTAAATGCAGGTTTGTCTTTTTATATCTGATTCAAGTCTAAATTTGATAATTAATCTGCAGGTAAAGGATATTCACAAAATTTCACACAAAAGTATTTTAACAAGATAAATTTCAACTACAACAATGAAGATAAAACTGATGATTTCATAAATTTTCATCAAAAACTTCAAGCAAGTGGCTAAAAGTAGTACTGAAAATGTTGTGAAAACGAAACATGTTAACAGGTTAATATTGTCCCAATATTGTCCCACTGCGGCTGCACAGTGCACACCACCTAGCTTCTGCTAAGAGATTAATGATGTGTTCAATGCGCCTCGAAGAACAAAGACATAGCAGGTAAACTAAAAGTAATCAATATAACCATTGTTTTTACCAACGACAGACACACATGGAAAGGTACGTTGTGATTTAGCCGTCAGTTATAACCGATGCAACCTGAAGCTACCGGTGCAGTCACATCGCTACCGTCATGGACAAACCGCCGGTTCAGATTGGTGAATCTCTCCATCCCTAGTCTGGATAGCATCGAAAATGTCCATAATAGCAAAGCCTGCCTTTGTTCAGGGTGCAGCCAGACTGTTTTTCAGCCCTCTTCCCGAGGTGGTCTGCTTCAGGCTGACTAGGGCCAACACACTCACTCTGACTGATAGGCTGGCTAAAATTCACTCCTCCCATTAGGGAAAGCCTCCGATTGGTGGGTAGAATCAGCCCATGTGGGCTTACACTGTAAGGGCTGATACTTTTTTATGACATATTTGTATGAAACAGTTTCAAACTCAAGGCTGAATTGTTTATTTATTTATTTTATTATTATGATTTTTATTTAAAAAAACTTTCCATTTCTCTGCATGGGACATTGGTGGGCAGTAAGGGATTTCAACATGACTTGGGGGGGGGGGGGGGGGGGGGGGGGCGTTTAGCTGAAAAAGGTTGAGAAACCATGGCTTACAGCATGCACAGTTCATTATCATGCTGATTACTAGGAGGAGAGAAAGTCTCTGACTGCATTCCTTGCATTGATTGCAAGGATGTGTGAAATCAACCGGGCCAGGCTGGGGCTATTCGGCGGTGTGGAGCCGATGCTGGTGGGGAAGGCCCTTCTGTACTCAGAGAGCAGAACACATCTAGGCTATTGACCCTTTGCACGTGATATCACGCCACTCATGTGACCGCCCCCTTCGCCATGATGGACGGCAAAAAGATTGTTTACATCCGTAGAAACTCCAGTGAAGGTAGCCAAAACAAGCCAGTTTGTAGCCTTTTATCACTTCTATTTAGTTGATTTGACAGTAAAATGGTTTTAGCTTGCTGCGTGGTTGGCTGCACTAAGAGACAAGGACATAAACTCAACTCATTTTTTCTTTTTAATAACTTTGATGGAGACTGGGGACGGAGACGAACTGCAGCGATCAAGCAATCAAGCGGACTAGCAGCCTCAGATTTGCAGCGAACATGTTTTTAACAGGTAAGATTAACGTTCATTTATTTCACGAGGAAGACAGGGACAGGGGTAAATGTGACGTGTTTATACAAGTGATTGATAATCCTGGTGGACGGGTATTTCACCATGGAGGCTGCGGTCCATCCACTGTAGTGTAAAGCGAGATAATTATTAACAATATTAAAGCTCCGATGTATGATTACGTGTATTAAAATTACGTTATTTATTTAAATGAGCGTCGGCGTTCAGAGATCTTCTCATTCCGGTGTGAGAGCAGCAGCTGAACCCGGTAACACCACCAGCAACAGGAGCTGGTAGGGATCTGGACTTTTAAAAAATCAGCTTTGGTGTAAAGTGAAACGCTGTTTACAACATAAAGTTATAAATCCAGAGTTAGCAACATGTTTACATCAGTGAACAGTTGCAGAGAGAACGTAAGCTAACGTTGGTAAGCTAGTTAACATACCACTCTCTATGAGCCCCCGCTAGATGCGCTACTTCTTCTGATAACTGAACTGGACATGAACTAGTTGAAGGAATGCTGGAGGAGTTTTGTTTTTGTTTTGATCGCAAAAATAATTTCAGGCTCCACTTTTCCCTTTGTTTAATCGTGTCACTCACTGTTTACATGCTTTTGCCGTCCACCGTGGTGGACCCACGTGATTAGGTGACGTCGTTGCAAAGGGTCAATAGAAGCTAACTGCTAGCATTAGCAACTCCACAACATGACAGAACTCTTCCAGGCTTGTGTTATTTGTGTCTGTTAGTCAATAAGAAGCAGGTGTCTGAATATACGGAGAATAAAAACTCCAAATCCTACCGTGTTCTGCTCTAAGCGCCTCTGGCTTTCTTAGACATCCTGAAACAGGAGTGTGGGAGTTTTTTTTTTCTCACAGACCACTATTGAAAAAATGTGAGTGGACTTGGTCTATAAATACTAAATTTTGGAGATTTAAATAAAGCAACATGAGATGAGTGCAGTTCTAAGTTTTTACCTTCAAAATCAATAAAATCATTTTCACATTCAGTAACGATTTAACAAGCCTTTTAATGCCTGATCTAGGAAGAAATAAAAGGTTGCAAAATGCAAAACAGAAACCAGGAGATCTTTAAAGTCAACCTGTTTTCTCTGTAGGCATATAACCTTGACATTTTTATGTCTGAAAATATGGTCAAAAGCCACGAAGAGAGCATTACGCTGTCATGTTTTATTGTTTCCAGACAGTGATGGATTTTTTTTTGGGGGGGGGGGGGGTGTTGAAGTGCATAGTACCCTAATAATGCTTTAATGCTGCTAATGGAAGCGTGACTTCGACAAGCAGCTTCAACCAAGAGAAGAAAGCTGCCGCTCAGATTTAGAGGGACGAGTGTTGAGCCGGAGTTCTAATATTGTGTTTCTGAGACAAATTTTCTAAGTGAACCCATTTGCTGGAAACACTGAAACATCCAGTCTATCACTTTCTCTTGTTTTGCTCATCCATGGCTCTTAAAAGCAGCATTGTCAAAAATTTGACATTTCTTTGGTTGATGATTGGTTTGTCCAGCTCACAGCTGTGCAGGAGTTATTCTGTTGCAGCCATAGACTCTAAACCCAGAGATCACACTGAACAAATCTTTATTCTTGCATGTTTAAATGCTATGACTGATCATTTGCACATCTAAGATTACAGCAAAGACATTGGGACATGTTTTGTTATTTTAGTATCACTACTTATTTTGTGCATAAATTATTAGAGAAGAAAAATTAAGGATTAAATTGTCTTTTTAGCAGCTTAGCTGTTCTCCAAGGAATGAAGAATGGAGAGAGAAAGATTTTGACATTGTTGGACAACACATGAGAAACCCCACAAGCGATCGTTAAAAAATCACGGATATACCAGGTTTGGTCCGACAGTGTGAGGTGTGCGCCAACGTGGCAAAAACCTTTACAGAAACATTCCCCAGTCAGACGGGAAATCTCACAAAACCTCCCGAGACCAGATCTGTCTTTGGAGTAAACAAACATGGTGGAAGACGAGAAGCATTTGGATTCTTGACACTGTGCAGCATACTTCTGTCACCTTAATATCTGATTGGCTACACATAGGGCTGCTCAATTAATCGAATTTTAATCATAATTACGATCTGAGTTTTGAACGATTATAAAAAACAAAACAAGCCGATTATTTGCTCCTCCCACTTGCGCTGCCCTGAGTTGCAAATGAAGCGCTCCTCCCACAGTGTTGCCAACTTGGCGACTTTGACGCTATTTCTAATAGCTTTTCAGACCCCCTTCTTGACTTTTTAAATCTTAAATTTTATGACTGAATAAAAACAAATAAAATCAACATAAATAGAAAAATTGTCCTAAATAATCGTGAACTCAATTTCAGTCACCATAATCGTGATTATTATTTTTGCCATAATCGAACAGCCCTAGCTACACACCACATTCAACAGGCTAGACACTCATTTGTACACAGAACACACCACACACTCGCAGATATGGAGTCAATCCAACAAGTCAAATATTCCTGATTTGTGATCGGAGCAGTCCCGACGTTCTTCTGAACAGACCAGAGCACTCTCATCACACACTGCAGGAATATCCAATAAGATTATCTTTATGCAATCAAGCGTGTCCTCAAGATTGCTGGAGGGGGAGAATCAGGTCAATCAGGCCAAAACTCTGCATGATTAACTCACGGTGTAAATCGAACCTAGACAAATCCCCAAAAGTCTGGGTAGTTATGGTCCTAATGACGGAGAACATTCATTACAATGTCAAGCTGCATGGTTGGCGCAGTTGTTAGCACTGTTGCCTCACAGCGCGAAGGTTGCAGGTTCGAAACTCGGCTGCGGCCTTTCTGCGTGGAGTTGCGTGTTCTCCCCATGCATGGGTGGGTTTCCTCCGGGTACTCCGGTTTCCCCCACAGATCACAACATGTCCTATAGGTTATAAATTGTAAGTCGCTTTGGATAAAAGTGTCTGCTAAATAAATAAACATAAACATAAAGCTTGAATGAACAGCAGTAGAAGTGTACCAGTTATTGCAGTCCTGAAGTCCTTAGCAATGTTGATATTGTGACAATAAGTTCGTAATATTTTGTGCAGCTTGATAATAAATCAACGTGTGAAGACAAACTGAGGGTAGCTCAACGATGAACAAAGTAATAAATCATGATGAAATGAAGGCGATGGCAGCTCCTTTAACTCATATAACATTAACATTGCCACCTGTAGATCCTCCACCAGAGGGCAGTAGACATTTCTAATACCTTGGTAGGTGACTGATGAAGGCACT